CTGATCAAAGTTATAGTGGTGGAGCAAGCAATCAACCAGAAACCAGACCTGTATTACACCCCCTGACCATCTCTATGCTGGCTCCATCACACATAATATCATTGATAGGCATATGATAAACATGTCCAATTAACAATTAGTGAGACATATAGCTTTTTTATGCACAAACACAGACTAAAATGTTAATAGTTATTTCTGTGAATATTCAGAATTAAAGAAATGTCCTGTTCATGGATTGAGCTGGTAATACCTATCCCTTAGCCAGTGTATCTCAGGAATTGACCCGGAAGGAAACATTATGATGCCTTCTTTAACAAAAGAGAGCATATTTCATCACAGTTTGTACTTGATACTAACAGATTGACAGAATATTGATTGGCCTGGAATAATCAGGTTCAACTGTAGAATAACATAACTATATACTAACCATATAACTATGATAACATGATATAATCATGATATTACTGATTAATTTTTGCTTTGTACGAGAGTGGTTTCTGATAATGTGCAAATAATTTCTGGTATATATATATATATTTTGTGAAACAGGCAAAATGTAAAACACTATGATCATGATGGTTTGAGTCTCAAGGCTGGAATTGTGCTTTTAGATTTAAGACTGGATCGTGTGACTGGAAATAGCATGTCTGACTTTAAAATACACTGATGTGTTGCTATTGTGATCGACATGCAGCCAAATGTTTTTAGTACCATTCTGTGTTGCTGAAATGGAAACTTTCCTCGATGAAGAACTGATTATTCAGATACATCATACAAATACACAATAAAAAGCACAAATGCTTGCAAACTTGCAGTTATTAGCCACAACAAGCAGGGTGTCTCCTCCAATTCAGTGAGAGTTTTACCAGTGAGAGACTAATTCTCTTCATAATCATCTCTGGAGACTGATCCCTCACAATGTATGGTACATGGTTTCAAGCTTCAGCAACAAGCACCTGTTGATCATTTGGATGAGGTGGTCCTTTAGTATCACTTGTCCGAGGACTGAAGCCCCAACCTTCCGTTCTCCAGACAGACACTATACCACTAATACTGTCTGGACCAGACAATCCAGTGATTGACATCATGAACATCGTTCCAAGCAATTGGGATCGATGACATGTATCAACCAAGTCAGCAAGCCTGACCACCCGATCCTGTTAGTCGCCTTTTACGACAAGCATAGTCGCCTTTTACGGCAAATATGGGTTGCTAACATGTATAAGGAAATGAAGCTGACATGTATCTGATGTATTGTTGCAATTAGGAATCACAATGCATCAAAAACTGTTTATCATGCCTGTGATGACTAATATTTTTACATTCAACATTCTGGAGTGAGCGAGTTGGGTTTAACACCACTTTGGACAGTATTCCAGTTCCTGGGTTATATCATGTGTCAGCTTAATGCAGGATGAAAGCCTGAAGTGAAGCAGGTCTCCGATATTTTGGTGAAAATCAACCATTGAAAATTCCAGAATATACCGGTAGGTCTATAGCAACCCATGCTCACGGTCAGGCAATGTGACTAGGATGATTGCATGTCATCACATCCTAACTGAAATCAATGCTCATGATGTCAATCACTAGATTGTCTGGTCTAGACTTGATTGGTTGGTTTGTTGTTTAACGCCACACTCAGCAATATTCCAGCCATATGACGGTGGTTCTAGACTTGATTATTTATAGACTGCCTTCACATAGCCGGAATATATCTGAGTGCGCTGTTACACAATATACAAATAGTAACATGTTGAGGTACTTCCATGTCATGATTATGCTATCCCGAAACATGTTATTGTTACAAGTATGAATACTGTGTCAAATGGTAAAACTCCCATAGCATTATGATAAATGTATATCTGTCAGTTTGTTATACAGTAAACTATGTTTATAACAAACATGCTTATAATATAAGGGCATTTGTTATAAATGTAGTTTTTGTATTTACAATGTCTGTGTTATGCTAACTCCCCCATTATAGTGCAGGTAATTGTGATAAACATGGCCATCCGAAAACATATGATATCCGAAAACCCATGATAGAGTCATGGGTCGGCATGTTGTTTATATCATCAGACGTAAATTGATGCACAAATTCATCTGTACATCTAGGTATTACCCCTTATACTTGTAAGCATAAGGGGGTCACAATGATTTGTTTCTTTTCAAATAAGGCCATCAATATTTTCTTGTGTTTCTCATCTCCATCCTCAACAATCAAGAGGGCAGGCCAAAAAAATTAAAAAACAGTTTTAAAAAATGTATTAAAAAAACAGTTTTCACTAATTGTGGAACATATTTTATGACATTTAAAAGTTTAAACACTTGGTACCTGTCTTTAAATCAATTTATGATGAAGATCCACACACTTTGCTTCAGAAATGAATGTTTAATAAACACAGCTGAAGAAACTACAAGCTTATCTTCTAAGTTCTTTATGAGTCACATCTTTTTTTATCACATCAGGGCTTTCCACAGCGGCAGGAGATAGGAAACTCAGAAAATATGGAGAGCCGAAGAAGAAATTCCACCCAAGGAAAAACATATAACAGAGTTTGTTGAGGAAACAAACAGAGTGCAATGCAAGAAATAACTGCATCATCATAACCATTTTACTGGTTAACAAATTTCAAGGTTATAAATCAAGTTATCACTAATATTCACGTCTCATGTCCTTTGTCAGGTAACCATGGTTACATAATGACATAATTATACATACTCTTATGACTAATGACAAAACTTTTTTTAAATTTCAACTCAAATCAGTCTCTACTGAAGTGTTTGATGAGTGGTATCTGCCCAATGCCATCAATCTGGCGTTCAAATTAAAGAACAGTGTAAATGTAAGTTGGTGCAATATTCAGAAGCTACCTCAGATAATACATCATGTGCCTTTTTACACGTATACAGCTTTTTGCTGGATGTGATTCAGAGCTCCAGATAAGCTTTTGGTGTTGTGGGTATTTTACCCATGCATTTTAGAATCACTGGGTATCAGTAATTCTATATGGGTATTCAAATTTCTGGTACCCATCAGTTTTTACACATGTGGGTATTAAAGTTAAATATTTAAAAACACTTTTTATCTAGTCCCTGCAAACTGGTGTTGTGTGGGTTCGAGAGCTTTATAGGACTCAAAAATACCAAAATACTTCCACAAGAAAGTGTGATGGCAAATGATCATGATGTAACCGTCATCGTGGAGTTTGGCAAGGTTGACGGAATGCCCGTTTATAATTTCAAAATAAGTTGCTGATTTGCCGATCGAATACGCAGGGTCACTTCACAATATTTTGATGATATGCACAAGTTTTATTTTTGTAGCGTATCTGTAATGTTCGTTGCGTATTTGATACGCTTGGATATTATTATACTGCGTATTTCTGCATTTCTGATGCGTATTTTACGCAGATACGCAGCTTATCTGGAGCTCTGTGATTGCTACTATAATAACTAGTAGTACTACTACCTGCACTGAAACATATTGACAGAACACATAGAAGCTCAAATGTGTCAGTTAATACTGTCTCTATTAAATAATAAAATTTCAGGATCAGGGATTCATCTAGGCCTGCTTATTGACAGATACTCGGCCAGAAGTCTGATAACAGAGCCATTAAAGAGGAGTGAGTAAGTCTTTTTAGCAATATTCAAGCAATATCATGACAGGGACACCCGATATTGCTTCACACATTGTTGGTTGGTTTGTTGTTTAACGCAGCACTCAGCAATATTCCAGCTATATGATGGCGGTCTGTAAATAATCGAGTCTGGACCAGACAATCCAGGGATTGACATCATAAGCATCGCTCCATGCAATTGACAGATGACAGATGACATGCATCATCCAAGTCAGCGAGCCTGACCACCCGATCCCGTAGGTCGCCTTTTACAGCAAGCATGGGTTGCTGAAGACCTATTTTACCCCAGATCTTTACGGGTCCATAGTGATGTTGTAATGATTGATTACAATCAATGATTATCTTTTAACATGCCGATATATAATGATTGACTGTGGTGTGCTTATTAATGTGTTGTTTTTTAAACAATTTATAGAGAAAAATGCTATTTAATTTCAATTTTATATTATATATCATCCATCAACATTATTATTCTTTTGATCTGTAAATGACAAAACATATATACAATACCAATATGCAACAATCAAGTATTTCCATTTGTGTTAAGACATAAAATATTTAATGGTACAAACAGGTTGACATATATGATACAACATTTTATATATGTATCAAAAATACAGAAAAGAATATCAATCAATCATAATCAATGATTGATCAAGTTGGAACATACTGATCATGACCAATGACCACTGGTTCCCCAAACTAGTAAAAACTATTCAAAAACATGTTTGGGGAAACTTTAAAACTTATTTTTGCTTACCAACGTTTTCCAAAATAATATCGTGAAATATCGCTTCATGTAACAAGTTTACTTGAAATTAAGTTTTAATTCTTGTGAATTAAATTGTGACTTTTATTGTTTGCATCCTTCATTTTGGCCACGAACATGTGTAAAATAGCAATTTAGCACAAAATTGACCCTACTCATGAAAAACATGCAACAACCTATGGAATAAAAGGAAATAAAACATGGAATAAGTATGTTTAACTAGCCACTGGTGTTAAACAATGTGCAATATATAGCACCAATAGTTAACATATGTGGGTTAGTGTTGAGTCATAGCACAAATGTTTGGTTTTTTCCTACTGCAAACACGATGATGCATCAATCAGCTCTGTATTGAAAATTATTACATTTATTCGGTAAACCGACTTGTGAACATAACAGTCCCTAGGCTACTGAAGGCGTTTATTATTTGTTTATTATAAAGGGACCTGTGTTGATAAAACAAAAATGGCTGCCACGTGTGGATGTTGTAAACACAACGTTGTTTCAACTATTGTGTTGGAACACGACATCAGATCCTGGGCATATTAATGTCTGAATATAGATAATTACACTGTGTTTTGCCTTACCTATATTCCCACGCGATTGCCTCAAAGGGATAGTTCTTTCAAAGCGCCTAAGTTCAGGCGATGAATCCGATACAGCCATTTCTTTGATTTGAAATTGCCACCTTCACCTATCCCAGGATGCAGCGCTGTGATCTATTTTTAGGTCACTGCTCGTTGACTCGTAGCGCACCTGTCAAAACTGTCAACGCGTGGAGTCAATTGAATGATCCCGGTGAAAGGGTTTTAGTAATCACCAATCATCGCGACAGAATCATTAATCTCCGAACTATAGAAATCTTAAATGAAATTATGCTCTATGTAACCGGAGACCATAAAATAATGGTCTCTGATGTAACTATAGGCAGTGATGGATGACGTAGGTCTACTGTATATATATGTACACCCGTGCTTGCATAAAGTTATTCATATCTGTCAAGAACAGCTGATATATACACATTTGAGTTTGGTTTGCGCTTTCACTCTCCCAATGATTCGCCGAACTTAGCAAAAATCTTACCGCAGGAATATTTAGATTGACATTAACAGTGAAAAAAGAAATTATTTTATGCACTGCAATAAGAACTATTTCTGAAAAGTATCGACAACTATGAAATATGAAATGCATGATTAAAATTTAATCTGGTATGTGCATGAAGGTCGTTAATATGCGAGAATGTAAAATATCTTGTTTTTAAATAATTGAATCACAATTAATTGACTTGTTGACTCACTAACGATACATAATGTATCTGTTCATGGGTTTAACTTGATTTGGAACAGGTGTTTAAAATTAAAATGTAGTGATATTGTATGGTTTGATAGAGATTTCTTAGAATTTGACAAATAACAAAATATATAGAAGACAAAATAACGAATAGACAAAAAATATGGATAACATATTTTATTGCCTAGTAATATTTTATTGCCTTATCTTACAGTCTTACTAAGTGGACTGTAGGGATGTGTACTTCCATCATCATATGGGCCATATGATTGGTCTGCCTCACCGTCCCTGAAACATATTATTCCCCAGCCCAGCCCTGTAACGCAAAAACTCTAAATGAAGCAAGTCTAGATTTTCTTCAATCCACCGTCTCACTGGGACACCTTTTTCAATTTAAATGGAGTTCTTTGTTTCTATGGACAACATATATTTTCAGAGACTAAGCGTTAGTCTATATGATTGATATATAGTACCACTACACACAAGGGAGGGGGTAAATTGTAAATCTAATTACAGAGGTATTACAATCCTGAACATTCTGAGGAAAATAATTATTTAAATTGTGAATAATAGCTTATAATTTTGATGTGAGATGTATAAAAACTTTCAGAATCGCAGTGTCGCTTCCGCAAGGGTTATCCTAATTTTTGGATAATTAATTTTTCTTACAGTCAGTTGGTCGCCTTAGATTTGGTAAACTGATCAAAATTGCAATATTCCAGCAGTATCACGGCGGGGGACACCAGAAATGGGTTTCACGAATTGTACCCATGTCGGGAATTGAACCCGGGTCTTCGGCGTGACGAGCGAACGCTTTAACCACTAGGCTACCCGACCGCCCCCATCCATGCTGAAGTAAACCATGATGATGAAAACACGTTGATTTCATGTCTGTACCTATACATTGTTATGTGGTTCTGAAATATAGGCACACGAAAACAATATAGATACACTTGAAAAAGGTGCACTTTAATTTGTTTTTATAATCTCTTTTGGGGCGGTCGGGTAGCCTCGTGGTTAAAGCGTTAGCTCGTCACGCCGAAGACCCGGGTTCGATTCCCGACATAAGTACAATGTGTGAAGCCCATTTCTGGTGTCCTCCGCCGTGATATTGCTGGAATTTTGCTAAAGGCGGCGTAAAATCATACTCACTCACTATAATCCCTATTGGACTCCATGTTCTCATTCCAAAGCAGCAGGTATAGAATATGCGTTAAGAGACCAATATTGACAACACTGAAGAACTAGTGTCAAGAACACCAATAAAGGGTGTTATTATAACATTTAATGGAAATACTAACATTTGTAAAAATACCCACTGTTGCCTAAAACATATATATTATGTTCTATCCCCTTACTGTCGAGCGCCAGACAGGGTAACAACAAGCGTCATCTTTTAAGGCATGTTGGTAAACGTGCCCAGGAATCAAACCGCCGACCTCTCGCCCTCCGCTCTATCCACTACGCCACGGAGGTTGTCTCCTACCAAGTAAATACACACGCTATGCAAATAGGTACTTGTTCAAGAGAATAAATAGTTTGATTTAATATGAAGAAATGTCCATTTGTAATTATTTAGACATTGCAAACAGCAAACTTCCGAAAGGCGAGTTTCCGGACTAATGGGGGTCCGGACAAAGGAAGCTACATTGTACATGGTCATGTATACACGGTGTGCCGCAAGTCGTTCATGGTAGGTTAGCTAACCCTCGTTAAAATCTGTGCAGATAAACTATGGTCATATGCTTTTTGACAATCGTGCTTTAGATCTCATCAGCTGAGGCAAGTTAATCATAATCACGTGACCAACCGAGGCGCATGATCTCATCGAGTAAAGTTCACAAGCGGGGATTCCCCATTGGACTTTCCCGGACTAAAACTTAATAGAAGTATCTAGACTTAGGCATTGCTGAAACAACTAGGACGAACTCTTGTCAGCAAAGGTAAGTATGGTAACATTACAAACGTTTATTCCTCATTATTGAACTATGAAAAGAATGTTATGTATGTGTCATTTACTTGGACGTATTCGTAGACAAACGTCATATGTATCTTAGAGAGTTACACTGTCACAAACGTGTCAGAAATTGGCGTCTTACAAAACCACCTCAATCCTGGGCCCACAAATCAGCAAGGAGATATTAGCGCCAGATGAATGTAACCCCATGTATTATATTGATATTTATTTAAACTAGACATATCATTGTCACTACATTGCTCCTAGTCTCACTGTAGCTGTGAACTGCACTACACTGTAGCTACTCTCACTGTAGCTATGAACTGCACTACATTGCAGCTAGTCTCACTGTAGCTGTGAACTGCACTACACTGCAGCTTGTCTCACTGTAGCTGTGAACTGCACTACACTGCAGCTAGTCTCACTGTAGCTGTGAACTGCACTACACTGCAGCTAGTCTCACTGTAGCTGTGAACTGCACTACACTGCAGCTAGTCCCACTGTAACTGCAAACTGTACTACACTGCAGCTAGTCTCACTGAAGCTGTAAACTGCACTACACTGCAGCTAGTCTCACTGTAGCTGTGACTGCACTACGCTGTAGCTAGTCTCACTGTAGCTGTGAACTGCACTACACTGCAGCTAGTCTCACTGTAGCTGTGAACTGCACTACACTGCAGCTAGTCTCACTGTAGCTGTGAACTCCACTACACTGCAGCTTGTCTCACTGTAGCTGTGAACTGCACTACATTGCAGCTAGTCTCACTGTTGTTGTGAAATCACTATATTGCTCCTAGTCTCACTGTAGCTTTGAACTGAACTACACTGCAGCTAGTCTCACTGTAGCTGTGAACTTCACTACACTGCAGCTTGTCTCGCTGTAGCTGTGACTGCACTACGCTGTAGCTAGTCTCACTGTAGCTGTGAACTGCACTACACTGCAGCTAGCCTCACTGTAGCTGTGAACTGCACTACACTGCAGCTAGTCTCACTGTAGCTGTGAACTGCACTACACTGCAGCTAGTCCCACTGTAACTGCGAACTGTACTACACTGCAGCTAGTCTCACTGAAGCTGTAAACTGCACTACACTGCAGCTAGTCTCACTGTAGCTGTGACTGCACTACGCTGTAGCTAGTCTCACTGTAGCTGTGAACTGCACTACACTGCAGCTAGTCTCACTGTAGCTGTGAACTGCACTATATTGCAGCTACTCTCACTGTAGCTGTGAACTGCACTACACTGCAGCTTGTCTCACTGTAGCTGTGAACTGCACTACATTGCAGCTAGTCTCACTGTAGTTGTGAACTGCACTATATTGCTCCTAGTCTCACTGTAGCTTTGAACTGCACTACACTGCAGCTAGTCTCACTGTAGCTGTGAACTGCACTACACTGCAGCTAGTCTCACTGTAGCTTTGAACTGCACTACGCTGTAGCTAGTCTCGCTGTAGCTGTGAACTGCACTACACTGCAGCTAGCCTCACTGTAGCTGTGAACTGCACTACACTGCAGCTAGTCTCACTGTAGCTGTGAACTGCACTACACTGCAGCTTGTCTCACTGTAGCTGTGAACTGCACTACATTGCAGCTAGTCTCACTGTAGCTGTGAACTGCACTACATTGCTCCTAGTCTCACTGTAGCTGTGACCTGCACCACACTGCAGCTACTCTCACTGTAGCTGTGAACTGCACTACACCACAGCTATTCTCACTGTAGCTGTGAACTGCACTACACTGCAGCTACTCTCACTGTAGCTGTGAACTGCACTACACTACAGCTAGTCTCACTGTAACTGTGAACTATTCTAATGAAAGAAAGAGCCTGCCTGAACACTACACATGCGCAGACCAGGGGCCTTGTACTAACCTACTGGTCGGTCGGTTCGCTCTCACAAGGTGTCCGGTATATGCAATTTGCGTCCATAAGTATGTCCAACTGCATTTCCAGTTGTGATGGGATGCTCAGACCTGCACGGTGGGCAGACCCTAGCGGCCCTCGTGCTTGAACACCGATGTGACGTAAAACATAAACTCACTCACTCGTGCTTGAACTAGCTGCTATAGTGAGGCTCGATCATCACTGCTGGGTCAACATGACTTTCTAGTTCTATGAAAGCCCTCGATTTCCTGGAAAATAAGCGACTACCTCGCTGTGTACTCGCCGCAGTCAAACGTTAGCTACTGAATCAATGGTATTTGTTTCTAGTGATTTGTATTCTACAATTATGTGCATAGTTTTGAAACCTATTTGCACCCTCTGGGATCAACTAATGAACTTGACATAGCCCTCTATACCCCTACCGTGAGTATACCTCATTATACTGCAACCTTAACACAGTGTCAACTCCCGTCATTATTTATACGTAACACGGGAAGAGATGTAGGGGATTGTTTGCATGTATTGAGTTGTTACGGGGTGAGTGACGGCGGGAACTCTTCAGGTCAGTAGGAATCATGCTTTTTGTATTAACGTATGATTTGTGGACCCGACCTTGAGTCACATCAGCATCAGCCGCATCGAAGTCATGAGATGATACGGTCAGAAGGTTATGTAATGAGGCTATATATAATATTTCAGATGTATATCATATGACGAGTAAGCCAGAGTATTTGGATATTTTATGCTATTTATTAAATATTTGAAGATTTTGTAAACTATTTTGCAGGTTATTTTTTGCAGGTACTTTTGTGAAATTGTACTCTAGATATATTGTAATATATGGAGGTTATACTATCGATATGTAATATATGCAGAATATTCCATAGAAATGTCATAATATATGGAGGTTATAGTGTCGATATGTAATATTTGGAGATTATTCTCTAGCATAGCATAGCATAGCATAGTATATAGAGGTTATATTATTGTCATGTAATATTTGCAGATTATTCTCAAATTATGTTATAGTATAGTAAATAGAGGTTATATTATCTATAAATAGTATTATAGCATTTTAGTTTTTGACATTTTCGTTTTTGTTTTTGACATTTTTATTTTAGTTTTTGACATTTTCGTTTTTGTTTTTGACATTTTTATTTTAGCTTTTGACCTTTTCGTTTTTGTTTTTGACATTTCCTTTTTAGTTTTTGACATTTTCGCTTCACATTTCAGCGATTCAATAGCTACTTGAAAGTACATTTTCCATGTTTTCGGTTGTTTTTATACATGATTTATCACATATTTGTATGGCAAATTGTGTTAATTTGCAAAAGGTTACGATAAAAGTAAGTCAAATATCCAAATATTGAAAAACAGACTCAATGTCCCTTATGGGCAACCGTAATAATAGTATATTACAGCTAAAATGGATAGAATTATAATACAAATACCCGCATGTTAGAAATCTGCGGGCCACTGTGACTAGATGGCATGACGCATATTCCCTTACGACGGACTGCATGTTGCCTAGTCTATAGTTATGTGACGTCACCCGATCAAGGCCATGGTCGAATGGCGTCATGTATTTTGATTGTGACGTCCTCCATTATTGTTCTATGATGTTGCCATTTGCAAATCAATTACCTCCGTTGTAGGTTTTTTAATACAGCCACTTCACCTCTGCCGCTGTTTGTTGTTTGTTCATTTTGGGATTAGCTATAATTAATTCTATCCATTTTATCTATACTAACGGTAACGATATTTTTCAGGGCATTATCATTTGCAAAAGCCTACGGTTTTTAATGTATGGAGGGTATATTATCGATATGTAATATTGACAGATTATTCTATAGCTATATCATATTTCGAGATAATATCATTGAATAAAATATTTGGAGATCATAAAGATGCATGTTTTGAAAAGATAGTATCGTATAACATATATTATATGAAAAAACTATATCATATCTGAATAATATATCATAGGTATATACAATTTGAAGATTATATTTTTATTAATTTTAAATATTTAGGTAGTTTAGTTGATTGATTTCAGGTGTGATTTGTTTTGATAAAGAACATATTTGAAGGAAGTAACTATGTTACTATTGACAATGTAATCTACATACACTCTCTCAAAAAAGAAACGCAACCCCAGAGTGAAAATGTTAGAAAGCCCCAAGAAGAAAAATGTTGATTGTAAATACAGTTTTTCTGATATGCACGTATACCATGTACACTGTTTATTAACGTAAGCGCCCAAACACACCAATTTTCGTGCACAAGGGCATTTTATTGTTACTTTTATCATAGTGAGCAAAATTTTCACGTGGCCCATGCCAAAAGCCTCATGCACGTGTATGGGTTTATAAAAGCACGTGTTGATTAGCAATTCACTCTATCGTTTTCACCGAAAGACAAGGTCGAATATGCCACGGTGGAGTGCTGCAGATCGAAATATCGCCATTGGTCGTATTGAGGCCGGACAAAGCTTTGGAAACGTTGCCCGGCACCTCAATATTCGTAAAACAACGGTTTCCCGACTTTGGAGCCAATACACCCAGTTTCATGCAACTGAAGATCGCCCCAGAAGTGGTAGGCCAAGGGTTACCACACCACCTCAGGATCGATTCATCCGGGTCACCCACCTACGTAATCGGCTAGCCACACCTACCGTCACTGCAACATAGGTGCCAGGTTTGAGAAGAGTGTCCGCACAAACAATTAGGAACCGTCTACGAGAGGCCGGTCTACGTGCAAGAAGACCACTTATTGGACCTGTTTTACGCCACGAACATCGACGCCAACGACTCAGGTGGTGCACCAACGTTCGGATATGGACCCTCAGAAACTGGAGGCGCGTCTGGTTTAGTGACGAATCACGTTTTCTCTTTCAACGCCGTGACGGAAGACAGCGTGTCTATAAAAGAGGAAACTAACGTTTTGCCCCGAAATGTGTTCGGCAGGTCGACAGATTTGGTGGAGGGAGCGTCATGGTGTGGGGAGCTATGTGTTACAACCAAAGATCAGACTTGGTGATCATTTGTGGCAATTTGACAGTCCAGCGCTATATCAATGACGTTTTACAGCCTCATCTTCTGCCGATTATCGACCAACAGAGGGAGCTCTATCAACACGACAACGCCCGGACGCACACTGTTCATGCAACAGTGAATTTTCTCCAGAATTCTAACGTCAACGTGTTACCATGGCCCTCACGATCACCAGACATCAACCCAATCGAACATCTTTGGGATTATCTGGACCGACGAGTACGTGCACGTACACCGCCGCCGCAGACGTTGGATGCACTAGCCGTTGCACTGCAGGAGGAGTGGAGAGCAATCCCTCGGGAAAGAATCCGGCGTCTAATCCGTTCTGTTCCTAGGAGGTGTAATGCTGTGATCGCAGCTCGTGACGCTCATACGAGGTACTGAGAAAGACGCCCCCTGCGTCAAGTCAATCTTAGTGAGAGAACTGTCGAAGTCTGGACTTCAACTTGCATAACTGTACTGCCACCATGCCAAATTTCATATTGTTGTCTTCAATAATAAATGTGTTATAATAACTTGAGTATTGAGATAAACATCTTGAAAATATAGGGGTTGCGTTTCTTTTTTGAGAGAGTGTATTTCACAAGACTGCCACTGAAATTATAGCATATACCTCCTCGTCCCACAAACTAAAAACTACCTGTATGACACGTTTAGGCATACGTAGTTCAGTCGTTTGTATTTATGTTGTAAATAATTGGTATTTCGTGAGTGAAGTTGTAGGAAATTTAGATTGAATGTCATGCTGTAGCTGTGAACTGCACTACATTGCAGCTAGTCTCACTGTAGCTATGAACTGCACTACACTGCAGCTAGTCTCACTGTAGCTGTGATCTATTCTAATGAAAGAAAGAGCCGGCCTGAACACCACACATGCGCAGACTAGGGGCCTTGTTCAAAACTACTGGCAGTGCCGTAGCCAGCCGGGGGGCAGGAGGGGCAGTTGCCCCCCTGGATTTTTTATAGAAAACATTTTTCCTTGTGAAAGTTAACTTGAATAAGAAATGAATAATCTTATTTGCGACTACCTTGCTGTGTACTCGCCGCAGTCAAACGTTAGCTACTGAATCAATGTTATGCTAATGTCATCAACGTGGGTGAGTTGGGTTTAACACCGCTTTGAACAGTACTCCAGTGTCAGTGTTCACGACTTGTCAGCGCGATGTAGGAGGTAAGCCAGAACTGATGCGGGTTCCGGACGGGTATGGTGATAACGCAGCGAGAAACATAATCGGGGCAAACCAGGATACGATCCCACGCTCATAGCTTTCTGACATGCCCAAGGGACGCACCTCTGCACGGCGAATTGCAGCGCCTTAGAAGACTGGGCCATCCTTTTCATATTTTTTAGAGGTCTATCTTTCTTTACAATTATAATTTTACTTTTATCCTTATTTATCAGTAACTGTCAGTTGTAGAATATATGGACAACTTACCACTCTTTACTCTAACCTGGGCACTGTGCTATCAATAATGATAATGTAATCAGTAAACAACTGCATACCTAGTTTTACTGATACATGTTTGGTTGTCATACTCCAACAATGTACATGTAGGTAGAATATATAGTCCAAAATATACTCTATAGTAACAGAAAATAGGAGTGAAGATAATTGACCCCCTGAAGGACACTGAAACAGCATCTGAAAACATATGTAGGCTAACTTTACAGTCACAAAATTTCATATACTTAATTATTATGATTAATTAAGACACACATCTGTTTTTTTCATATTTTTTTATAGATAAAGGAACAGTGTGGTATGCCGTAATTAGGGACCAAACATTGTTTTATACCTAACCCTTCTTCAAACACTTTGTCATTACTTATGACTATACATGATCCGACTTCTTAAATGTCATCTATGTATACGTTATCAAACATATTATGCATATTAAACAATAATGAAATGCTAACTAATTATTAAGGTCTTTATTCATTGTAACATTATAACACTGACAAATAATACACCCGAGTGACTGTACAGTGACAATGTATTGTTGTGAGGAATCAAAGAGTAAAAGCGGATGTATTTGTGACTGGTCCATTAACACCCAGTATGACTCCCTGTCTTTAACACAAAGAGGTATCCATTGTGTAACTCAATCAAGTATTCTTGTATTTCTAGGTATGTACCACCTCCCAGCACAAGAAACTTCTGTTTTATAAACTGACACCGACGATGGCAGAACCAGAGGCTATCACAGAGAGCCATGGCAGCAGGCCTGACGATGGTGATCAGGTAGGAGATATTCGCAGAGGAATCATAGATACTGGGGATATATTGACGAAGAATGTTATTACAACGATATTGATGACAAACAGCATGTTTCTGACGAGGATAAAGATGGTAACGAATGTATATGTACATTTAGAGGTATTTTTATTGGACCTTTGATGATGAAGAAATACATATTTGAAGGTCAATTGTGTCTTTTAATTTCCTTCAGACTCAAACAGTACTGTATTATCGGACATCAGATGAGACCGTGATGACATCCATGACAGTGACTGATCCGCACATACCAGATGGGGCACATGGTCGAATAGCTTCAATACAAAATATTGGCCCGCCACAAATCACTGATCCAGGTGAGTGTACAAGAGTCAGTGCGTACGTCGACCAAAATGTCAACCAAAAACTTAAATACATTTAATTCTAAATAAACAGAGTATAATGTAACTTTAGCAAACTTATCTAAATAGATTTTTTTTCATTGACTCGCAGATTTTCAGCAAGCGATGCAAAGACTTTCACTGTTATCGGTTCCTAGTGGTGAGTATTATGCGATGGGAGGGATTACGTGTGTGTTGGGCTAAGGATGAGGAGGGGGACGCTACAATTTATAATAATGTGGGTGTAAATGAATGGAGAGTTGTTCTGCAGTTAACTTGTTGATACTGTCTATAATACTGTAAGGTAATATAAAATGTCAAGGCCAGAGAATAATCATTTTCGATTATCTGCCGAAACAGATTCAATTGAACATAAAATGCAAATTAATACAATTATATGGATGGATCACTGAAAATCAGTGATGACACCAGGTGTTTGCAAAAAAAAGGTAAGCATGCCCAGCTTGACAGGTAACACCCGTCACTCAAACAATTTGCATGAAAAAGTAAGTGTTTGTTCGTTGCTTAACGATGCACAGCAGTACTTCTGCCATAACACTCTTCTGATATCAAAGGGGTAGGCACTGAAAGTTGACATTGCTTTTGAGAAGGGCCTTCAAACGATAAAATGCATGAAAGGGTAGTTAGGTTATACTTTTTTTCAACTAACATATAGATTTGCGCCAGGTGGAAATTGATTTTAAATATTTTGATTATTATTCTAAAATTGGAAATGCTTTAATGTCTCTTTTCGAGGTGTGAACCATGGGGAGATTAACATCATGAACGTTTTTAACGACGTGACTGTAACAAGAGAAACTTCATACGGTGCTGTGAACGAAATTCCAGGTATGTGTACTTTCATGACGTAAAATGTACATTTGTTGAAATATGTGTAAAACAACAGAAAATATATTAGAATGTACTTAATTTAACGAGAGATAAATTATACAAATGTTATATGTTGATGAGTGTTACCGTGCATATTCATATCCATATATTATTTCCTTGTAGATATGGTCAGAGAGAAAATGAAATCTGCAAAAGACATTTTTGTAGAAACAGAAGCTTATGAAAATGTCTATGATGCCCTTGAACACGACGGACATGTGCTCATTTCTGGATCGCCCGGTTCAGGTAAAACAACAATGGCTCTTTACATCATGGATAAATACCGAAGAAAGAAATACCATGTGCAATTTGAAGATGATGTGGCGGATTTCAAAGTTGAAGATCATGTTAATCTGAAAGTACCAACTCTGCTTGTCTTAGATGATGTGTTTGGTCGCTTTGCGCCTACATCTGAAAAGAAAGTTCGTTGTACAAAGATATTTGATTATTTGAAAACACATTTCAAAAGTTTAGAGGAAAAGAGAAAGAAAACACAAGATGAGGATAAAACTAAAGGTGTCGAGGCATCTGAAATCACTCTGAAGGTTATCATGAGCAGTAGGACAAACATTTGCAAGCATCAAATTGTCACTACTATGTTAAACAAATACAAAACATCCTTGTTCAGACAAAGCACTATAGCTGATCTGACAATATCTGAGCTGAAAGAACATGAGAAAGAATCGATACTTCGAAAACATTTGGTCAAATCGAAATTGGATCTCACTGAACATGACATAAAAACCATTACACGGTTGGAATATAAGACACTGGGTTTTCCATACATCTGTCAGTTGTTTGCAGACAGTTTTTCGTCAAAGGACGAAGCTGTGAAATTCTTCATGGAGCCCTGGGCATATCTGTATGACTTGATAAGCAACATATTCTCATCTGATGACCCAAACTACAGAGCTGCAGTGCTACTGCTTATGGTCCTCAATGACGGAACACTGAATTTGATTCAGCTCCAACAGGCTCGACCAAGTGGGAGGAATATTGAACTTCGACACAAAATAGCAAAGGTTGAGGAAATACTCCCGGGTGTATGTCATCCAAATCAGTTAAACAAAGCTGCAAAAAACGAGATTCGCACTCTTTTGGTGTCTGAAGGTGACACGATGTCATTTAGTCACCCAACTATCTATGATGTTGTCGCGTTTGCTGTAGGGGACACGAATCCCGACTTTGTCCTTGAAAACTGCAGTCTCAAATTCATCATCGAAAGGACAAAGGTTTCAGAGGACCACAAGACAGACCATCCAAGTGGAGGGGATATACACAGCTTCATGATAAATCTTAGACAAGGTGCTGCTGTCGGGCTGGTGGAAAGGCTCACAAGAGAGATTGTTGACGGTTATATTGCTCTTCCATTGTCACATCAATGTTTCTCGCGAGCAGATATGGCTGAATATCTGTTTACAAATCTCTCGTCACATGGCAACATTGAACAATATTTGCATTCTTGTGATAAGCAGCATGGCATGGGCTTCCTGTACTGGTCATCATTCTCCAGTACTGGTCCTGTGAGCAAAATGTCATTTGAGCACACCGACTTTTCTGTTCATGAAATCCGAGAAGGATATCTTGGTTGCTGTATGAGTGGAAACTTGTCTTCATTACGAGTTCTCATTGAAAACTCAAAGAACATATTGGACAAAGTTGCCTCCACTGATGTTGGAGACATCCTCGGTATCAAACAAGAAACAAGACAGTTAGTTCGCTCCTTATCAGCTTGCAGCCCAACCAAAACAGAAGTGCCATCTGCTATTGAAACACCTCGATCGCATGGTGACAACAAAGATAAATTGATTCATATAGCAACTGCGTATGGATTCACTGCAATTGTAGAACTACTGCTTGATCTTGTTGGTATACATATTGATGCTCGAGGAGGAAACGACATGACTGCAATTATGTATGCTTGCTACCTTGGACACAAGGAGTTAGCACAAATCCTACTCCAAAGACAGGCTGACCTGGAACTGCTTGATGAAGAAGGTGATAACTGTCTTCATCTTGCATGTCGAGGAGGATCCATAGCTATTGTACAACTCCTTCTTGACAAAAACATGGACATCAACAAACACGGTGAGCATGCACGTACACCTTTGATGTATGCCTCATACAATGGCCATGGGGACCTGGTGAGGCTTCTACTGAAGTATGGAGCGAAGGCAGAGCCTGATCTGTCTTCAATAGAACAAAAGGACACTTGTCTCCATCTTGCGTGTGTGAAAGGTGAAACAGGTGTAGTTCGGATCCTTCTCGATCAGGGTGCTATGGGCATTGAAGTGATTGGCGGAAGAGAAAGAACACCGCTAATGTATGCTTGCAGGCATGGACGTCTAGAAACTGCCAAAGAACTCGTTGACAGGAATGCCAGACCAAATGTTTTAGATGAAGGCAATATGAATTGCTTACATCTTGCAGCAATGAAAGGACATATACCAACTGCTGAGTGGCTCCTTGGTTTGAATGTTGGACTCACTGTTGACTCTGTTAACTCTGTTGGGAGAACACCCTTGATGTATGCAATGAAAAATGGTCAGGCTGAAATGGTTGACTTTTTTATTGCAAACGGTGCAAAAATTGCAATAAAAGATCATAAGAAATTTACATGTTTACACATGGCAGCGATGTCAGGGATGTGGCACTTGTTGGAAGTATGCTTGCAAAACGGGCTAGATGTCAACTCGCTCACGGAACCTGGTTGGACACCAGTTATGGGGGCATGTAAAGGAGGACAGATAGATCTTGTCAAAGGATTAGTTGCGAGAGGAGCCAATGTCAATCTTGGAGGTGGTTGCCTATACGCCGCATGTACCCAGAACTGTCTTGAAATGGTCAAGTATATTGTGTCCAATGTCCAAGACATCAATGAACGTGGACCAAAGAACAGAACAGCTGTTATGACAGCCTGTTTTCACGGGTACATTGACATTGTGGAATATTTGCAGTCTTGTGGTGCAGATATGACATGTAAAGATGAATATGAACAAACATGTCTTCATGTAGTCTGTCGAAGCAGTGCCAACCTGCAGCTTGTTGAAAAGCTGGTAAAACTTCTCCCTATTGATGACGTTGATGCCAACGGCATAACACCTCTTATGTATGCAGTGAGGTCAGACTCCCCTGAATTGATAGGTTGCCTCGTACGAAATGGTGCAAACATTTATACAACAAATACAACAGACAGCCGTTGGCAAACCAATCTCCACACAGCCTGCTGGTTTGGGAATAGAAATGCATGTGCTAAACTTCTTGATCTTGGCATGGATGTGGATGTTCTTGATTCTATGAAAAGAACTCCCCTGATGTCTCTTGCTAAAAGCAAGAAAGATTGCACAGTAATTGAAAAACTTTTAGTAGAACGGAGAGCAGATATTAACGTGAGAGATCAGGATGATAATACAGTATTGCATGTTTCAGCTAAATGGGGCGGTCATCCAGCATTTGCAAGGTATATACTAGAGAAAGGTATGGATGTCAATACGCTAGGTGCTTATGATCACAGTCCCGTGATGTCTGCATGCCGAAGTGGCAACACATTAGCCTTTGACTTATACCTAGCCAACGGAGCTCTGCTGCATCTTACAAATGCTCATGGAGCAAGCTGTCTACATTTGGCATGCATGGTTGACACCGATGATGCTCACATTGTTAATGAACTACTCGATCGTCGGGCTGACATCAATGCACAAGACGAACAGAACAAAACACCAGCTATGTATGCCATCAGCAAAGGCAGCGTCCACATCTTGGGACTCCTTTTGGCACGGAATGCATCGCTCACTGCATTTGATAAAAGAGGAAATGCGACCAGTTTGCTTCATTATGCATGCAACCTTCAAGGCATGACCACAGAGAAAATAGAGTTACTTCTTCAAAAAAGAGGTCTACGTGTAAATGAACCTACCATGTACCACTCCCAGACGCCATTGATGCTTGCAGCAAGACAAGGAAATCAGGCCGTTGTAGATCTACTGTTAAATTCAGGAGCTGATCCAAGAAAGGTTGATAGGAATCGCAGAAATTGTGTCTACCATGCTCAAAGCCAAGGTCATCATGAATTGGCCGAGTACTTGGCCGATCGGTTAAGAAGAAGATACCATAGGTATTGAAATGCCTACAAACATGTATATGTGGAACACATTAATAGTACATATGTGCTATGTCATCATACCACGTTCTACTGGAAACAAAGTTTATGTAACAAATTGTACTTGTTGGTAATACAGTACAAAACATTGCAGCGTGCAATGGACGGGACTACAGTTTTCGAGACATGGACAAATATCCCTGCGTTCTTGTTGAAAGAAGAGAAAACCTATTTCCATACCAGATATTCATATTTGATATTCAGAATTAAAAACAATGAACACAATTCAAAATGTGATGACTTTGTTGTATAAATTACAAATTCAAACATTGATTTACAATTCCAAAACGTTGAAACACATGGTATCCTTTATTATACTTAATTTAACACATTATTCAGGATAGAAAAAAAACATTGTATAAGTGTACCTAGGTATGGCCTGTTTCTCTAGTATCTCATCACATCTTTGTATACATTCACATGTATCATAACAGAAATTTTGTATATTTATTATGTATATCTCCGTTTTCTGTTCTTGTTCATATATACCAAATACAATTACATATACATGCATGTATTGATTATTGTGTACATTCTTCACGATTCATACTGAATATTCTTACAAAACTTGTGTCAAACAAACATCAAGTTTGAAATGTTGTAAAGAATAATTTTTGATGATTTGTAAACTTTTTTTCACACGGTATACTTTAACGTCTCCATTAAATGTGTATCAATGAATGATTGCATATGCATACTGGTATAGTGAAATGAATTGTTTTATCATATTTCTCCACTTGAATATTGTAAATAATGGAATGTGTATTCGTGTATATGTCCAATCATGTACTAGGCAACCTGACACCGACACAAGTTGAATTCACCCCTCTTTGTCATACAGTCTTGTGGATAGTTTGTTGACACTGTGAATCTTTATACATAGAGCTAAATATGAACCAGATAAGGTTATTTCACTGATCTCTTTTATTTCTAGCTGAGGTGGGTAAATCAGTGGAAGGGAATTATGTAATTATTAAAAGATATCAGATCACTGAAATACCTTAAACTTTAGTTGAACGTTTTGGCAAGTTTCGGTATTTTGACTTTGCCAATCCGAGCAGTAATTCTGATTTACATTTATATGCATAAAGAAACAGATCAGCATGACGGGGAGCACAGTTGGTGTCCAAATTTCACAAATTTCGTTTCTATGAGGAAATCCAGTATTTCACATATTGTTATTTTTTCAGTAAACTTCGGAAAACTCAGTAAATATACCATGACCTGAGAGAGTAATACTGTTGTCTTCAGTGCTTAATAACATTGTGTTTTGTATTCTGCCTTTTTGTGTGATGGTGTCATTGTCATACACAGATAATAAAGAATAATTATTATCTTTATTATGCTTTATTTCATCGGCGCTCGTGCATTACCTGTCCATTGATCCCATAAACACTAGTAATCATGATTTCACGCCCACACTGGCGATCACCGCTCAATTACAGTAAGTAACTGAATTCCATAGCTGAATATGAAACGCGAAGGTCTTTCAGGGATGTTAACTGCAGAGACAGGATGCTGACGTTGTACAACAATAAGAGCAATATTTAATCGCTGATGGTCGGTTCATAGTTGACCGTAGGATCGGTGAATGCCGTAGAAATTGCTGAGTCATGGAAATGGAAACGTACAGTGGAAAAAAACATATATTTTTAACTGGCGTTACCATGTAGTGGAACTTGACAGGAATCCGTGACAACCATAACCCTGAGTTGATTTGTTAAAGCTATCAACAATCAATGTTCAGTCACTATGACAGATTCACGGTGTTGTTGTTTTCATAGATAACTAATGGTTAAAGTTATCATAACGACGGACGACGGAGGCTGGGTGTCTGAAATAGCTGTGCTGATACAGGACCATTTATTCTGACTATACATAAACAACTGTTTGATAGGCATCACTTAGAAGTTGACGGGTGACAAAATAGACACACTTTATGGATAACAAGTTATTTAATTTCTGTAAAGGTGACGTTTCGGTATAGATCCTTATACCGTTACCCTGCTTGACAACGGTATAAGGATCCAGTCTTGCTTGACAACGGTATAAGGACATGTACGGAAACGTCGCCTTTACAGTAATTAAAGAAGTTGTTATCCATAAATTGTGTCTACTTTATAGTTAATCACTTTAGTGGGTGATCAACTATTGTCAAAGTTAATAATCCTTGTCTGGAAATACTTTTTGGTGGCTATTTTCCAAAATGGCCGCCATGACCGCCACAGGTCACACTTTCGATGGACAATAGCTAATTTTGAAACTTTATGCAAAATGTTTTGTCTTAATCATCAAATGCACGATACTTCTGCTTTTCTGCTCCACTTGAAGAGAATGGTCCAGGAGCTGCTGAAATTGGTTTGCGTATAACCAGACGACCTCAACCACTACTTGACCTTCGACAATTTGAGGAGGCAAGCATAGACGAAAGCAATAACGTTTCTCTTTAGCCTTTTATATATCCAATAGCTCCGCAAAACTATATGCATTACTTTCCCACCAAATGTACTTCACAAACATTTCCATATTTGACGCATCAGCGACCAAAATGATATCCTGTGCAATTCCTTTCTGTTCTTTGTTCTGGTGTTTGTTCAGATAAAAACTTGACTTGCCTGTGGATGTGTTTGTGACGGGTGCCACCGATGGGGCAGGATACGCTAACATTTTCGCGAACACCAGGTATCAAGTTTAAAACGGGATGTAGTGGGTAGGTATTACCTCAAACGGGCTCTACCATTTACAGGATTATGTATGAAGTCTTATTATGAAGACTGTTTCGGTAATAGTTACCTTGTCTAAACAAACCTGGGACTAAGAAATGGAAGGAATGTGCCACATCATTGTTACATTTCTACATTAATGATGCAACAGTAACATGATTCAGAACTTAATTTTACTGTGATATACATTTCCTTATGTGTTAATTCCTTGAATAACGTCCTATTCAACTGGAAACGAGGTTCTCCGTGCGTAAGTTTATATCCTCATTATGAAGTGTTAACTGCCTATGGCATGTGTTATGATTTAACACAATATTGAATATCTAGTACCAGAATGTATTACGCATTAAAGGATGAAAAAAAAAATTTTTGAAATGAAATCGATAAGTATCTAGTGAACACCTTACGCCCCAACAAATTTCAGTCTGTCTCGAAAACACTATTACAGGAGCTAGTGAGTGAATGTTGTTTCACGCCATAGTGGGAGAATGTTGTTTCACGCCTTAGATATGTTACCATATATGTTACCACATATGGCCATATGTGTTAGCCCGGAACCCCGTAGTTTCAAACTAAAATAGTAAATAAAAGAAACAAAAACATTTCCATAATCATAAAAGATATTTACCATTGGACGATTCCGACTATATCACGAGTGTTTATGCTTATGTTTTATTAAAACGGGTGTGAGCGAGGCGGTTGGATGGCCTGGTGGTTAAAGCGTCCGCTCGTCACACGCAACGACCGGGTTCTATTCCCCACATTAGTACAATGTGTGCAGCCCTGTCTGGTGCCTCCCGCCGCGATATTGTTGGCATTTTGCTAAAAACGACTAACTCACTCACTCACTGCCTCACCAAATGACCACGTGTTAACATCATGAAATGTTAAAAGATAAAATATATTTAGGGACGTTTAGAAATGTAACTGGAACAAAGCGGCGTTAAACCCGACTCAGTAGCCACTCACCCACACACTTATGAAAACCTACTTGAAACTGGAAAGTGAGAGGATTTTAAAGATAATAATAACATGTTAAAGTTTTTTTCCGAAAGACTGAAACATGTTCATATGGCTAACAAAATAATTACTGTTTAAAAAATCACTATTAAATTATCTTGGATGTTTGCTCAGAAGCCCTATTACTACTATTTAAGTCCTAGTGTAGGGAACTTTGAGGTAGTCGAAAACATTTCCGTTGTATCTAATACTTACACTGTACATATATATCATGTATCATCAATAACATGACCTCACTATCAATTAGAAACTGTCATTGTGGACGTTATACACATCACATCATGGTCAGCTACATGTATCTTGGACAGGAGAAAAACACTTTTAGGATGTATACTTTGGTATACAGTACGTGTTCAGTAATCTAAGTACAACTTAACGCCACAGGTGTGTCGTTCGGGCTGACTAGAATTGTGATCGGGGAGTCAGTGACTTGGCTGATAGTGCGTTATCGTGCCCTGCTTTGTTGACCAGGCTAACAAACAATGGTTTGCGGGATCCAGCCTTGGGTTTTAGAGGCCGCTATGATATTATTGAACATTGCTGACTGCCGTCTAAACAATCAAAACCAAAAAGGATTTCAATGACATTTCTAAATTATTAATCATTAAAATACTTAAAGGGTTAGATATGTTAAGGTATAAGTCACACACATTCACAAATAAACCATAACACGTTTTTCATCTTGAATTTTTAAAAATAGAAATATATCATTTGTCAGTATACCAATGCAGAAAAGATGATTGGTGAACCTGCTCTCCCCTTTCACAATCAATTTCTGTTTTCAAATGATAGAATCCTGATAATAAACATCTTCCCGAGGCAAGAGAGTTGACTGACTTTAAAAGTCCAGTTTCCCACCTTGCCGAACTAGGCTGGAATTCCTGGGCTCGATCGTAGCGCCACCTGTGGTTATTACAAGTTATGTCCATTCTACACCTCTCCTATGGACCAATCAGATTCCACCTCTCGTACCACTTGCATTTGTTTCAAACGAAATGGCGGCGCCCGGTCAAGACGATCTGATCGATAATGAAGACCTATATTGTGATAAAACGGGTTTTACATCACGAAGTGCATCAAATCACGCGAGCACCTTGATTAAAAACATGAAATGATTTGAAAAATATCTGTTGACAACGAGTTGGCGGTGCACATGCTTTGCAAATCCTGCAATCGACCGAAATCTGCACGACAGTTTACGAACCGGTTTTCGATTTCGGTGCGCGATTGTGATTGGACTATGCATAGACTCGTTAGCACAGCCAAAATGTAACTTCATAATACCAACCTAGTTCGGCAAGGGGATGAAACTGGACTTTTAGAGTCAGTTAACTCTCTTGCCTCGGGAAGATGGTTAATGAATGGCGTGATATGGCATAGAATGGCATGATAGGATACGATAAGCAAGGAAAATGACATGACATGATATTGTTTAGGGATCAAAACGTAATTACAGACGCACCAAAGATGATACTTGATTTTAACCAAATAAAAGCATGTGTACATAGCTCTCATGCAACATATTGCTGTCTTCCTTCCTCCTGTAATTTATATTTATAAACTTATGACAGCTGACGCAGTATAGTCAACACGCCAACGATGATGATGTGATCGATTCCATTTATTATATGAACCAATGTCTAGTAACTAATCAAGTGTTTGACAGAACCTTTTGCGCGATTCCTATCCGGTATATTTTAAATGAGCAAACAAACTCAAAACAGCATACATTACATGTGAAAGGACACAGCCGTCGAGGGTGGAATTCGTATATACACATCACGAATGTGACGCATGGTACAGTCAGCCAAGAAACATGAACATTCCAACTGGAGCATGTGGCACATTCTGAACGTCCACATGTGGGACTGGACCCGTGAAGATTCCGGGGTAGAATAGGTCTTCAGCAGCCCATGCTTGCCGTAAAAGGTGACTATGCTTGTCGTAAAAGACGACTAACGGGATCGGGTGGTCAGGCACGCTGACTTGGTTGATGCATGTCATCGATCCCAAATGCGTGGATTGATGCTCATGATATCAATCACTGGATTGTCTGGTCCATACTCGATTATTTACAGACCGCTGTCATATAGCTGGAATATTTCTGAGTGCGGCGTTAAATAACCAACCAACCAACCAACCAACCAACATGTGGGACGGGAAATCGTTGCACAGTTGCATCCCTTCATCGTGCCAGAATCCATGAGTTCGAGTAAGTAAGTTGGTTTTAACGCCGTTTTGAACATTATTCCAGTTATATAACGACGTGTCAGCTGAATGTGGAAGGAAAGCCCGAAGTGATGCAGGTCTCAGACGTTTACTACCTTAGTGTAACCCACGATCAAGGGTATGGTGCTGACAAACCTAGAACCATAATTGGGGTGAGCCGAGATTCGAACCCAGGATCATAGGTTTCTGGCATGCCCATAGGACTCTGCACAGCGCATCGCGACGCCTTAGACGACTGAGCCTCTCGTGCTTTACCTCCATACCCTCGATTCTAGGTTTGTTACCACTATACAACAAAGTGGTAAACCTCAACCACCTGTATCATTTTGGGCTACCATCCAACATTATACCATGATACTCGTGATGGAACCGAAATCGCGTAGCGGTATCATGTCCCTGAAGGGTGTGGAACATACTGTGGTTGTTTTGATATGAAAATAGCCATTCTCTAACACATCATAAATCTCATCGTTATGATAGGCCATACATGTACTACAGGTGCCATCGCTCTTCAAACTGTAATTCAAAAGACAGATATGAGGTTAAAATTAACTTTCACATTAGAGAGACACCGCTATCATACTTTGTTTGTATATTTACATGTTTCGTGTATTATATGCGTATCTTAATGTAGTTCAGAGATAAGACCCATATCCCTGAAAATACTTCCTGAAATAAGCATTGATAACGGTGAATAGTTTTGCTCGTTCGCTCTTCCTCTACCGATAACAATGGACAAGTGGCGTCATGACCAGTACGATTCAGTCAAGGGCGGCTGTAGACTGAGAGCAAACAGCTCCTGACGTCTGACCCTCAAGCATTAAGAATACTACTGATCTGATGAGAGTAGTTTGTATTTTATATTTCTAAACACAATATAAGCTCCTACCTGGTAGTATATTTTGCGCGACGGGTTCATTTTAGGAAAGCTTTCAAACGTGACTAGCATTCAGCTACTTGTTAGGTTAACATTATTGAATCGTTTCACAAATTCAGTGTAGCCTTCTTTGCTACAACACACGATTGTTGTGAAACATTATTCAACTACATTATATACATTTCAACCCACTGACAACCCACGTGAAATAAAATAGTATTCTTTCTTTTCGAACCAAGGCAAACTACGCATTGTGCAAATGACATTCGGCTCTTGAAAAAGGTATGAACATTCACATAAGCATATCCAACGTTGCTAATGGTACTTGTTGCGCAAATACAAATTCTTGCCAAAAGGGTTTCATTATCATCACATGCATGTCATCGTTCGTACTCATTGTCTCACTTCACAAATGATCAGCTACTGAAGATGAGGTGAAATTGGAGTTATGCTAACCCAGTGAGATGCCATTGTGTAGTTTAACCTTGATACCTTGATACCCCACTTAGACACAGTGTACTGTGTACTGTACTGTACTGAGCCGACTGGTCCTTGTTTCATCCTTGTAATGCCGAGGCCAGGCGAAGTAACACAAATTACCATCGCTTAATGTCTTTGGGTATAACGCGACAGACGCTGTACAACAACACCACAGTTACCGAAGGGCGAAACCTATTTTACGTAAGATATGTTTAAAACCCTCTATATCTTAGGAATGAAAAGATAGTAATTATTCAGAAGATGGCAAAGTATCTAATACTGCTTGGGGGATGACTAACTTTACGCATACAGTACCTGAAATGGGGCACACAGAGATATCTACACACACAAAAAGCAAAACAAGAAATATTAAAAAAATATTATAAACCATGTTTTTGAATATGCTTTGAATTTTGTAGATTATTTTACGAAATACATACTTGTGCATCTGCTATAGCTTTTACCCCGAACAGGAATGTATATAATTTTGATATATTTCAATAAGAATGCTTCATTTTGCTGTGGCATATTTTGTTTTCATTCCACCTCTTTTAGGTATCAATTATTCACCAAGTCAACCTCGTTTTAATATGTCTCAACTAACAAAATGAACAATATAGTTGTTAATTTGTGTTGCATTTGTTCATATTGTCCAATATCCTTTGTCCAAAGAGATTTATGGACGTGTAGGCTTTTACAAAGGACTACACATATGTCACTCAATCTCTTATCAGCTTACGTGAGAAGTGACAGAGGTCAAGCACGCCACCAAGCGTATCAGGAAATATAACTTGTTAACAGGAAATAAATTGAACCAATAATCAATACCACAGGTAAGGTCAGAAACCAATTCAAATTAATTCAAGTAAAATATGATTGCAGGTTTTGGCGTTAAAAGGACATAAAATATTATTTGACAAAATATAGGCTGTTTTCAGCACATCACACACGTTTCTCAGTGACTTGTTTGAGAGACTATCTTGTTCAACATTGGACAATTTATAATAACATGGCATTTACACTGCAAACACGAAAACGTCGATTTTCCGTATATGGTCATTCGACGGAAAAACGACTAAAATTCATAAAAATGGTTTAATTGGTGAGCGTCTAGAAAGTGTCCGGAAAAGCGTCGAGTTTTTCAAGCGTAAAATCTTTCCCAACCATATCCCTACAATCATCTTACTATGTCTACGTCAGCCCTCATTGGTCCACCATGCGCATGCTTACATACATACTCCCTCCTCCCACTACACCCGCCATTCTCCGCCATACACAGCATCTGTTACTATATCCGTCCTCATGTATCCGTACTCATCCTTACATACATTCACACCCCTCTCACTCCACTCCACTATATCTACACCAGCCCCATTGCACCCGTTCATGCTTACTTAAATACACCCTCCGTACTATAACTATATCCGCCCTCATGTATCCGTATCCGTGCTTACATACATACACTCTCCTGCCATTCCCTTACATCTATCGCACTATAACTATAACCGCGCGCCTTCATGTTTCCGTACTCACAAAGCATTGCGTGCATCCAATTACACGTTTAAAATATTGTAAATATTTTACAATATTTACATGTTAAACATCAGCAAACGGAGATTATTATAACACAATAGATTTCCTCTGTCTAAATCAGAACGCATTCAGAAATTCATCTGGTCAGCAGGTCTCCATTACCATAAATGACATCTATAATTTACAATACAGTGTTTTTAAGTTAATTTACATAATTTGCAAAAGAGCATAGATTTGTTGGGACATTTTCATTTTTGTTACTGATAATTTGTTTTTTTTCTAAATTATGTACATAAGGAATGATAAAAGTATACTTTACATCATTACATAATTTACTAAAACAAACAAAACATGGCTGTAAAGTTACAACATCTAAATCTAGCTAATAATTATTTTAAAGAAATATTTCTTGTGAAGGAATACAACACTCTGTGCAGAAGTGACTTGTACCTTTTACAACTATAAGAATGAGATAAACTGTCAATGGATTCATATCATGCTTGTCTCAGATTGCCTGAAAGACGAAGCTTAAACTGCTGCGAAAGTAACTTAGAATCACCAACATCCTCTGGAAGCCACCCATAACCAAACCCAAACTTAAAGAGAACAGCACTGATGTAAGTAAACCATGTTGTTCGACCTGATCCATGAAGAGATTCTAACATAAGCTTACACTGGCGAGTTAATCTGAATGATTCTAGATGAATTATTCTACACTTAAATTTAACTGCCCTTGACTTTTAAGTGCACTGAAATGGTAATCTCCCAGATCAGCACTTGAAATACCACCAAAGTTTCTATGAAAAAAAGAATATATACATATATATGTACAGACAACAGCTTTATTTTCCTGAAGGGTGAAAAAATGTTTGAGCCTTGGAGTGAACGTAATACCTAAATACCTATAGAATGAAACACTGTCTAATTGTTTGCCTTCAAAATACCATAAACCATACAATTTGAAGAAAGGCTTTTGACTTACCAGAAGAAGAAGGCCAAAGACACAACTCGTAAATCTCGTTATTCGAGACAAAAAATGTAAAGATTTAAAAGCCGATGCAGAATAGTTTTGCAACAACAGGCTTTCAGTATCAATAATTATGTTTCGTTACAACTGTAGGTAAATATATGTCGTTTCTAATTAATCGAAAGTCGTTAAATAAACGTGAACTATTTCTATGAAAGAAAAAGCATGCCTCAACACCAAAAGTGCGCAAACCAGGGTCTTGTACTCACCCTCATGTCGGTCGGTTCGCTTGCATGAGGTGCCAATTATATGATATACATTTACTATCGCAGACATTAAGCATATCCAACTTCATTTCCGCACGTGAAGTCCACGCGGAATATAACCATGTCGTCATGTTTCACTCGTAACTAACTGCATTCACGGAACTGTTAGTGACGCTTGACATTAGTTGGTCAACATGACCTACTAGGACTACTGCGAAGCCCCCCATTTCCTGGAACTGTTCTCGCCACAGTCAAACGCCAGTGAAACCGTGTTGTTCATTCTAGTTGCATGTGGTATTCGACATTAATATGCATAGTTCTCAAACCTGTGTGCCCCCCCCCCCCCCCCCCCCCCCCCCCCGATCGTATTGTGAAGTAGATTTACCTCTCTATAAACCACCACCATATGAGTATACCTCATTATACTGCGACCATAACACCGTGTCACCTCCCAGTAACACGAGAAGAGACCCAGTGTTGAACATCTCCACTTAGTACGGGGTGGGTGGAGGAGGAATTGACGCCATGTTTTAACTCATGTCTACTCTCGCTGTTCAACACAATACAAATTGTCATTTACAATTGGATTAAAAGGTAAGTACAGAATGTATTGAACATTCGTTTCTAATTCCACTGTACTTTTACCGCGGTGTTTGGTGGTTTGGTGAGGAAAGTTACGAAATATGTCTTGGATAATTGCTCACCGCTATGTGACATACCTAAATTACTTATAAAATGAAACAATGTCTAATTGTTTATCTTCAAATTATCACATACCATAAAATTTGAAGAAAGGCTTTTGACTTACCAGAAGAAGAATGACCAAGACACAACTCGTGAATCTCGTTATTCGAGACAAAAAATGTAAAGACTTAAAAGCCGATGCAGATTAGTTTCGCAACAATTAAGAGGCTTTCATTATTAATGATCATGTTTCGTTACAATTGTAGGTAAAAATATGTCGTTTCTGATTAATCGAAGTTATTTCCACAACCATTTAACATGATTGCGTTGAAAGTCAGCAAACGTTAAATAAACGTGAACTATTATTATGAAAGAAAATGCATGCCTCAACACCGAACGTGCGCAAACCAGGGCCTTGTACTCACCTTCAGGTCGGTCTGTTCGCTTGCATGAGGTGTCATTTATATGATATGCATTTACCATCGCAGACATTAAGCATATCCAACTTCATTTCCGCACGTGAAGTCCACACGAAATATAACCATCTCGTCATGTTTCACTCGAAACTAACTGCATTCACGATTGCACTGTTAGTGAGGCTTGACATTAGTGGGTCAACATGACCTCTAATTTCTACGAAGCCCTCTATTTCCTGGAACTGTCAGTGACTGACTCCCTATGTTCTCGTCACAGTCAAACGTCAGTGAAACCGTTTTGTTTGTTTCTAGTTGCATGTGATATTCTACAATTATGTGCATAGTTCTCAAACCTGTTATAGAAAATGCACGCGCGATTGTAAACTTTTAGATTTTCAATATCGATTTATAAACAGAATAATTTACACTAAGAAAGAATTATTCAAGATGAAACTTGTCGATGAAGATATTTGTACATTCTGTAAAACTGCTTCTGAAGATATGTCTCATGTATATTTCGATTGCCAATTTGTTCAACAATTTTGGCTTAAAGTTGAAAACTTCCTAAATAACAACCTGCAAACAAATTTTTAACCTTTCGAAACTTAATATCTTTTTTGGTATTTCCACTCAAAACCATGTAACAAATCATATTATTATATTAGCAAAAAGATTCATCTACATATCAAACATAAAACAACAAGATTTATCTTTCGAGCAATTTCTTTCACTACTAAAAGACACAATTTGTTTGGAAAGTTTTATCGCTAAAAAAAATAATCAATTTAACCAATATGCTCAGAAATGGCAAAACTTACATCTCATAATCTCACGAAGCAGATGAAACATACTACCTGTTAATTAGTAATCATCTATTTCTTGTAAACAAATATTTATAATCTCCCTCTCAGTTTGAGAAGACGACATATCCTACACAACCTGCCTGTCTTCACCTATGAAAACTATAACTTGTGTTAATACTGTCATATATATACATGTTAATACCTACACTTGTAACAATATACATGAAATGGAATAATAATAAAAAAGATTTAAAAAAAAAAAACTCACGCTGATAACATTTGCCGCTCAGCTTCAATAATGATTTGTTCGTTAAGAACCGTTAAATATTTACTTGACAGACCAACCCTGTCTAAAGTCTATCTTGTTTTCATAAGACCTATATTAGAATATGCTTCAGAGGTATGGAACAACTGCAGTCAAGAAAATTCCGAAAAACTTGAAATGATTCAACTCGAAGCCGCTCGCATAGTAACAGGTCTCCCTAAATTCTCCTCAAGATCGAGTTTATATATCGAGACGGATGGGAATCACTACCTTATAGAAGGAAAAATAAAAAACTTTTTACAATCTACAGTATTGTTAATAACGTTTGTCGGCGGTCTGTAAATAATCGAGTCTGGACCAATCCAGTGATTGACATCATGAGCATCGATCCACGAAATTAGGATCGATGACATGCATCAACCCGTTAGTCGCCTTTTACGACAAGCATAGTCGCCTTTTACGGCAAGCATGGGTTGCTGAAGACTTATTCTACCCCGGATCTTCACACAGAAAATAGGAGCAGTGATAATTGATCCTCTTGAAGGACGCCGAAACAGCAACAGAAGAAATAGATAGGCAACCTATTTCCATATGTATTTTTCTGACTGATTCAAACACACATTTGTTTTTATCACTTTTGTATATACCTGGTGGACTTTATAAGTTGTAACAGAACAAAACGTGAAGTATTTCTCATAGTAACATTATAACACTGAATAAAAATACATCCGAGTGACTGTACAGTGCCGATGTACTGTGATGATGAATCCTGGAGCAAGAGCACACATTTTGGGACTGGTCTTTATATATCCTGTGTGACACCTTGTCTTTAACAAAAAGGGTATCCATTTTGTGACTCATACATGAATGAAGTGTATGTGTCTATTAAGTTGGTTTTTTTTTTTCATTTCTGACACGTACCACCTTCCAGAACAAGAAACCTCTGTTCTGTAAACTGACCACCGACGATGGCAGAACCAGACGGTATCACAGAGAGAGATGGCAGCAGGCCTGACGACGGTAATCAGGTAAGAAAAAATCATAGGTGAATCCTAGATACGGGGATATATTGATGAAGAGCGTAAAAACAACGATATTGATAACATCATGTTGCAATCGTGAATAAATATGCTCACGAATGTGCCATACTTTCAATGATGAAGAAATCAGTCTTTGAAGGTCAGTTGTTTTCTATCAATTTCCTTCAGACTCAAACAGTACTGTATCGTCGAACATCAGATGAGACGGTCATGGCATCCATGAGAGTCACTGATCAGCTCATACTAGACGGGGCAACAGCTTCTGAACATGGTCGAACAGCATCAGAACAAAAAATTGGCCCGCCACAAATCACTCATCCAGGTGAGTGTACAAGCGCCAGTGTGTACATCGACCACAATGTCAACCAATAACTTAAATACATTTATTTTTCAAATGTACTTCATTCTAAATAAACATAGTGAAGTACTACTTCAGTATATTTATCTAAATAGAATTTTTCATTGACTCGCTGATATTCAGCAAAAGATGGCATACATTTCACTGTTATCGGTTCCTAGTGGTGAGTATTATATGTTGTAAGGGATTAAGTGTGGGTTGGGATAAGGGTGAGGTGAGGACGCAACGATATGTAATTAATGTTGGCGGAATTGTTTAAAAAGTATTCATTTGTGCTATGTGCGAAACTGGTTAATAATGTCATGAAATTTTAAAGCTGGAATTGCTTTAACGTTGCAGGTGCGCACCCTGATAGGTTGAACATCACTGACGACACTGACAACGTGATTGTTGCAACAGGGACCTCACACGGTGCTGTGGAAGATATTCCAGGTGTGCATACTTTCAAAAACCACAATGTTCATTTGTACAAATATGTGTACAACAACGGACATTATATAGACTGTACTCTATTTGATCATTTTAAAGAGAGAAAACATATACAACTGACAGTTACAAGTTGATTAGTGTACCTGTCCTTATTCATATCATTATATTATATCCTTGCAGATATGGTCAGAGAGAAAATGAAATCTGCAAAAGACATTTTTGTAAAAACAACAGCTTATGAAAATGTTTATGATGCTCTTGAAAACGTCGGACATGTTCTCATTTCTGGATCACCTGGTTCAGGTAAAACAACAATGGCACTTTACATCATGGGTAGATACCGGAAAAAGAAATACAATGTGAAATTTATAGATGATGTTGCAGGTTTCAAAGTTGAACTTTATGTTAATCTGAAAGTTCCAACACTGCTTGTCTTAGATGATGTGTTTGGTCGCTTTGCTCCTACATCTGAAGTGAAAGTTCGTTGTACAAAGATATTTGATTATTTGGAAACACATTTCAAACGTTTGGAGGAAAAGAGAAGGAAAACACAAGATGAGGATAAAACTAAAGGTGATGAGGCATCTGGAACTCCTGAAATATCTCTTAAGATTATCATGAGCAGCAGGACAAACATTTGCAAGCATCAAATTGTCACTACTATGTTAAACAAATACAAAACATCCTTGTTCAGACAAAGCACGATAGCTGAGCTGAAAATATCTGAGCTGAAAGAACATGAGAAAGAATCGATACTTCGAAAACATTTGGTCAAATCGAGATTGGATCTCACTGAACATGACATACACCAATACACGATTGGAATATAAGACACTGGGTTTTCCATACATCTGTCAGTTGTTTGCAGACAATTGTTCGTCAAAGGCCGTTGCTGTGAAATTCTTCATGGAGCCCTGGGCATATCTGTATGACTTGATAAGCAACATATTCTCATCTGATGACCCAAACTACAGAGCTGCGGTGCTAATGCTTATGGTCCTCAATGATGGAACACTGAATTTGATTCAGCTCCAACAGGCTCGACCAAGTGGGAGGAATATTGAACTTCGACACAAAATAGCAAAGGTTGAGGAAATACTGCCATATATATTTCATCCAAATCGGTTAAACGAAGCTGCCAAAAACGAGATTCGCACTCTTTTGGTGTCTGAGGGTGACATGATGACATTTAGTCACCCAACTATCTATGATGTTGTCGCGTTTGTTGTAGGGGACATGAATCCCGACTTTGTCCTTGAAAACTGCAGTCTCAAATTCATCATCGAAAGGACAAAGGTTTCAGAGGACCACAAGACAGATCATCCAAGTGGTGGTGATATACACAGCTTCATGATAAATCTTAGACAAGATGCTGCTGTGGGGCTGGTGGAAAGACTCACAAGAGAGATTGTTGACGGTTATATTGCTCTTCCATTGTCACATCAATGTTTCTCGCGAGCAGATATGGCCGAATATCTGTTTACAAATCTCTCGTCACATGGCAACATTGAACAATATTTGCATTCTTGTGATATGCAGCATGGCATGGGCTTCTTGTACTGGTCATCATTCTCCAGTACTGGTCCTGTAAGCAAAATGTCATTTGAGCACACCAAATTTTCTGTTCATGAAATCCGTGAAGGATATCTTGGTTGCTGTATGAGTGGAAACATGTCTTCATTACGAGTTCTCATTGAAAACTCAAAGGACATATTGGACAAAGTTGCCTCCACTGATGTTGGAGACATCTTCGGTATCAAACAAGAAACAAGACAGCTAGTTCGCTCCTTATCTACAGCTTGCAGCCCTACCAAAACAGAAGTGCCATCTGATATTGAAACACCTCGATCGCATGGTGACAACAAAGATAAACTAATTCATATAGCAACTGCGTATGGATTCACTGCAATAGTAGAACTACTGCTCGATCGTGTTGGTATACATATTGATGTTCGAGGAGGAAATGACATGACTGCAATTATGTATGCTTGCCACCTTGGACACAAGGAGTTAGCAGAAATCCTTCTCCAAAGACAGGCTGACCTGGAACTGCTGAATGAAGAAGGCGATAACTGTCTTCATCTTGCATGCCGAGGAGGACCCATAGCTATTGTAAAACTCCTCCTTGAAAAAAATATGGATGTCAACAAAGAAGGTAAAGTTGCACGTACACCTTTGATGTATGCATCGTACAAAGGTTACGGTGACCTTGTGAGCTTTCTACTGAAGAATGGAGCAGAGGCAGAGCCTGATGTATCTTCTATGGTACAAAGGGAAAATTGTCTCCACCTTGCTTGTGTTACGGGTGAAACAGGTGTAGTTCGGATCCTTCTCGATCAAGGCGCTATGGGCATTGAAGTTATTGGTCAAAGAAAAAGAACACCACTGATGTATGCTTGCAGGCATGGACGGCTAGAAACTGCCAAAGAACTGGTAGACAGGAATGCCAGAGCAAATGTTTTAGACGAAGGCAATATGAATTGTTTACATCTTGCAGCGATGAAAGGACATATACCAACTGTTGAGTTGCTCCTTGGTTTGAATGTTGGACTCAAGGTTGACTGTGTTAATTCAGATGGGAGAACACCCTTGATGTATGCAATGAGAAATGGTCACACTGAAATGGTTGACTTTTTGATAGAAAAAGGCGCAAACATTGCAATCACAGATCATAGAAAATCTACATGTTTTCACATGGCAGCAAAATCAGGAATGTGGCACCTGTTGGCAATTTGTTTCCAAAATAGTCTAGATGTCAACTCGCTCACGGAATCTGGTTGGACACCGGTCATGATGGCATGTAAAGGGGGACAGGTAGATCTTGTCAAAGCATTGGTTGCGAGAGGAGCCAAAGTCAACTTTGGAGGTGGTTGCCTATACGCCGCATGTACCGAGAACTGTCTTGAAATGGTCAAATATCTTGTGTCATATGGCCAAGATATAGACATCAATGAACGTGGACCAAAGAACAGAACAGCTGTCATGACAGCCTGTTTTCACGGGTACATTGACATTGTGGAATATTTGCAGTCTTGTGGTGCAGATATGACGTGTAAAGATGAATTTAAAGAAACGTGTCTTCATGCAGCCTGTCGAAAGAGTGCCAACTTACAGCTTGTTGAAAAGCTGGTAAAACTTCTGCGTATCGATGCCCTTGATGCAAACAGGATATCACCTCTCATGTATGCAGTAAGGTCTGACTCCCCTGACTTGATAGGTTGCCTCGTACGAAATGGTGCAAACATTCATACAAAAGACAGTCATGGACAAACCAATATCCATACAGCTTGCTGGTTTGGGAATAGAAATGCATGTGCTAAACTTCTTGATCTTGGCATGGATGTGGATGTTCTTGATTCTATAAACAGAACCCCCCTGATGACTCTTGCTAAAAACAAGAAAGATTGCACAGTAATTGCAAAACTTCTAGTTGAAAGAGGAGCAGATATAAATGTGAGAGATCAGGATGATAATACAGTATTGCATGTTTCAGCTAAATCGGATGGTCATCCAGCATTTGCAAAGTATATACTAGATAGGGATATGAATGTCAATACGCTAGGCGCTTATGATCACACTCCCATCATGTTTGCATGCAGAAGTGGCAATACAGTAGCCTTTGACTTATACCTAGCCAACGGAGCTCAGCTTCATCTCACAAATGCTAATGGAGCAAGTTGTCTACATTTGGCATGCATGGCCAACACCGATGATGCTCACATTGTTAATGAACTACTTGATCGTCGGGCTGACATCAATGCACAAGACGAACAGAACAAAACTCCAGCTATGTATGCCATCAGCAAAGGCAGCGTCCACATCTTGGGACTCCTTTTGGCACGGAATGCATCGCTCACTGCATTTGATAAAAGAGGAAATCAGACCAGTTTGCTATATTATGCATGCAACCTTCAAGGCATGATCACAGAGAAAATAGAGTTACTGCTTAAGAAAAGAGGTGTAAATGAAGCTAACATGTACTACTGCGAGACGCCATTGATGCTTGCAGCAAAACAAGGAAATCGGGCTGTTGTAGATCTACTGTTAAATTCAAGAGCTGATCCAAGAAAGGTTGATAAGAATGGCAGAAATTGTGTCTGGTATGCTAAAAGGCAAGGTCATCATGAATTGGCTAAGTACCTGGCCAATCAATCAAGAAGAAGATACGATAGGTATTGAAATGCCTACAACATGTATACGTGAAACACGTTAATAGTACATATGTGTACTATGACACACATCTACTGGATACAAAGTTTATGTAACATATTGTACTTGTTGGTAATACAGTACAAAAACATTGCACTGTGCAATGGACAGGACTACAGTTTTCTAGACATGAACAAATATCCCTGCGTTCTTGTTGAAAGAAGATCCAACCTATTTAAATACAAAATATGTGTACTATGTCGACTGAACACAAACGTATTTAACATATTAAACTTGATGGTAGGACAGTACAAAGCATTGCATTCTTGTTGAAAGAAGACCAAACCTATTTCCATACTATATTTTATTTGGTAGTCAAAATTAAAAACAATGAACACAATCCAAAATATGATGACTTTGTTGTATGAATTACAAATTCAAACATTAATTTACATTTCCAAAACATTGAAATACATGGTATCCTTTATATATAGTAACTCTTTATCATATTTAATTCAACACATTGTTCAGGATAGCAAAAATAACATTGTGTTAGTGTACCTAGGTATGGCCTGTTTCTCTAGTATCTCATCACATCTTTGTATCCATTCACATGTACCATAACAGGAATTTAATTATTATGTATATGTTCCGTTCTCTGTTCTTGTTCATATATACCAAATACAGTTACATATACATGCATGTATTGATTATTGTGTACATTCGTCACGATTCATATTGAATATTGTTACAAAATTTGTGTTAAACAAACATCAATTTTGAAATGTTGTAAAGAAAGACCTTTAAGGAAATGTCAACTTCTTTTTACACGGTATACTTCTACGTCTCCATTAAAAGTATATCATTGAGTGATTGAATATGCATACTGGTATAGTGAAATGAGTTGTTTTATCGTATTTCTCCACTTGAATATTGTAAATAATGGAATGTGTATTCGTGTATATGTCCAATCATGTACTAGGCAACCTGACACCCACACAAGTTGAATTCACCCCTCTTTGTCATACAGTCTTGTGGATAGTTTGTTGACACTGTGAATCTTTATACATAGAGCTAAATATGAACCAGATAAGGTTATTTCTCTGATCTCTTTTATTCCTAGCCAAGGTGGGTAAATCAGTGAAAGCGAATTATTTCATTATTAAAAGATATCAGATCATTGAAATACCTTAAACTTTAGTTGAACGTTTTTGGCAAGTTTCGGTGTTTTTGGCGATCCGAGCTGTACCTCTAATTTATATGTTGTAACATTTCTTTACTAGATTGACAAAAGCAACAAATATCATCGTCAACTAATTTCATTTTTAGTAATTCTTTCTTAGTTTTAATTGCCCTATGCAAAAATCTATAATGAAAATCTTACACTTTTATATCTTTGGTACAATGTGTAAATATATATAAAAAAAACTTTGTTCAATTGAATAGTCTGTTCTAATACATCTTCCCATTTCCTATAAATTCTTAAAGGAGATGTGTTACACGAAATAAAAACATTTAGGGTTAAGCCACAGCGGTTGTGACAATATATCACACTATTCATCACTAATGACAAAACATTTATAATATTTGACCAAGCTGTCAACACATCTTTCCAAAAAGGATTTTCAATGTTGAAATAGTCTTTAACATTAGCACCAAGTTGTAGAACATCTATCAGGTGGAAATTGCTTGGGTTGCTATACTTTTGTTTATTTATATATTTCTTAAGTGATGAAAGTTTTAAAGCGTTATTGAATTTACTACTATCAATCATTCTTAAACCACCATTTAATATATATTTGTCAATATTGATCTTTTTATCTTATCCTTTTTATTATTCCAAATGAAATCATAAAATATTATGTTAAGGCATTCATAAAATCTTCAGGTGGATTG